GGCCCAGCCAGCATGGGTTCATGAAAGGCAGGTCCTCCTTGACCAACCTGATCTCCTTCTATGACCAGGTGGCCCGCCTAGTGGATGAGGGAAAGGCTGTGGATGTTGTCTACCTGGACTTTAGTAAGGCCTTTGACACCGTTCCACACAGCATCCTCCTGAAGAAACTGGCTGCTCATGGTTTGGATAGGTGTACACTTCGCTGTGTAAAAAACTGACTAGGAAAAAACTGGCTGAGCCCAGAGAGTTGTGGTCAATGGAGTTAAACCCAGTTCGAAGCTGGTCACAAGTTGTGTTCCCCAGGGCTCAGTACTGGGGCCAGTCTTGTTTAGTATCTTTATCAACGATGTGGATGAGGGGATTGAGTGCTCCCTCAGTAAGTTTGCAGATGACACCAAGCTGGGCGGGAGTGTCGATCTGCCTGAGGGTAGGAAGCCCCTGCAGAGAGATCTGGACAGGCTGGATCGATGGGCCGAGGCCAACCGTAGGAGTTTCAACAAGGCCAAATGGCAGGTCCTGCACTTTGGTCACAGCAACCCCATGCAACGCTACAGGCTTGGGGACCTGGAGGGGCTGGAGGGTGTCCAGAGAAGGGCAACAAGGCTGGTAAGGGGTCTGGAGAACAAGTCTTATATATAAAGAGCAGCTGAAGGAACTGGGGTTGTTTAGTCTGGAGAAGAGGAGGCTGAGGGGAGACCTTCTCGCTCTCTACAACTACCTGAAAGGAGGGTGTAGTAAGGTGGGTGTTGGTCTCTTCTCCCAGGTAACGATCTATAGGATGAGATGCAATGGCCTCAAGTTGCATCAGGGAAGGTTTAGATTTGGTATCAGGAAAAATGTCTTTACTGAAAGAGCAGTCAGGCACTGGAACGTGCTGCCCAGGGAAGTGGTGGAGTCACCATCCCTGGAGGGGTTCAAAAAAATGTGTAGATACAGTACTTCGGGACATGGTTTAGCAACATGGTGGTGTTGGGTTGACGGTTGGACTTCATGATCTTAGGGGTCTTTTCCAACTTTAACAATTCTATGATTCTATACTCAAAGTATGTAAAGATAGGACAATATGGTACTTTTTAACCCCAAACTAAAAATACAGGTAAAAATGAGAATAGCGTCTAATTTGTTAAAGACACTAATTTCTTTCAGGGTCTATAATTTAAACTGCACTTTAAGTGAGTAACTTCAACAGTCCAGTAACAACTTTGATCTTCATTCCACAGCCACACAAGCACATAGTTTTGGCCAACAAATTGGACCCTTAAACCTGAGTCTCTTCTCTACTCCTTACGCTTTACGGCCAGGTCTTTAGTAATAAAACCTCTCCCCGACCTCTACTCCTCAGATATGCATCACATGGCAAGTTAAGGAAAAAAAATTATTCATAATCACTCACACCATCCCAAAGCAGTAAACAATCATCTCATACATAACGTTGTTAATGCTTTGTCACTTTTAAACCTGAGTAACTGCAGCAAGAGGAATTTTAGCGTTTGAACTAAAGAATCACATTGAACAGACTAAATAGTATATTTTTAGGTTATCTAAGCCATATTTTGAAGTTGCTTACACTCATTGTGCAATTTTAATTTCCCATCTGAATGCCTCTTGCTGCTAACATGCACCTCTGAACTATTTGGAAGCTAGGATAACCACCCATTATTTATCCTTAGTTAAAAAGACAATAGATACCTCTCTGGCTCATAGGCCGAGATGAAGCTTTCAGTCCTCTTTCTTTTCTCTGTCAAATTTATTATCTTCCCTGAACCCAAAACCAGATGCATTAATCAAAATGCAGTTAAGCCAGCAGCGTGCAAGGAGAGGCTATCACGTCTGTGGTCTACTCCATAGCGCTCCATTAACACGCAACCATAGGTAGCACAACTTCTACCATACATTCTAAATACTCATTTAGCCTCTAGACAGAAGGATGCAACAAATTACAGGGTGCTTCTATCTAAATGGGAATCAGAATTTTATGGAAAGTAGGAGACTTCTTAGTACTTTACCTGGATCAGGTGTAGAAGTGTTTCCTGCAGCTGCATCTTCGTCATTGAGCTGCTGTTGACCACAGATGGCTCTGGGGTTTGCAGTGGCAGGAGAAGGCTAGCTGAGCTAGCAGCAGGTTCTTGGTTTGCTGCTGTTAACCGCCCACTTTCATTTGCTTTTGCTGGAGCAGGTGTGGACTGAGTGAACACCATTGGGGACATCAACAAGGTAGGAGTCACAGTGGCAGGAAGGCGTTGAGGTGAGATTACCTGTCCATATAAAAATAAAGTCATCTGTTAAAGCTATCTGCTTTACTCTATAGGAGTAAAGATGATGAAAACTGCTGACTGACTGGCAGCAGGTACAGAGACTGTTGGAGATCGACACAGTTATGTGAAACTCCAGTTCAGGACCACCTATAAGATCTATTTCCAGATTAAAAGGTCTTCCATCCAATTTGAGATTGCAGCAATGGATTCAAGTGTGATTAGGTCTACCTCATAGGCAAAAGGTCTTAGGACAAGAGCATTTTATTACATAGATCAGACTACTGTTAAATATCAGCACTCTTACAGAATGCAGCTGTAAAGTGTTCTACATAAGGACAATAAATCATTAAGTTTAATCTTTGAGAATATACTTACATGCAAATATCACTATTAAAGACAAATCTTTGTACCTATTACAAGAAAATATTTTCCCATTATAACTTTCAAATTTCTTTATAAATCTATTTTTTTCTCATTTTACTTGAGGAGAGGGGAAAGAAAACAGAGATCAAGTGATTTATCTGAAGAGTCACAGTGAGCTGGTGGCACTGTCAGAAATAAAACTGTCTCCTAACCAACACTCAGTTGACAAAATCAAACAGATCCTCAATGAGAAGAAAAACCTTGATGCTGCAGTAGTCCTGCAAGTTCCCTCAGTATCACATCCATGCCAACCTGCAAAGACAGGTGGCAAAAACATTTTACTTTTAAATTTCACGATGCATCTTGGAACTGTAAAGCATGGAGGACTCGCAAATGCTATCAGATATAACATACAACATAACAGAAAGTTTATTCCCTCAGTTTGCAGGTATTAGAGTTCTCATCAGGTAATTCTAGTCATAAATCTTAATCCTAATCAGCCATCTCATCACTATTCAATTATCCGATCTTTTTTTCAAGGAACAACACATATAAAGGAATTGATACAAGCTCACCAAAGCTCCTCGCTTTCGGTCTGAAGCATGATTTATTGCTCCTGTATGAAGGTGAAAGGCTACTGAATCACATCACTCTGTGTCCTGGCTTACATTTCAGTTTTAAAGAAAAATTAAAATTAAGAAAATAAAACTGAAGTTTATCTCCTAGGCATGCAAAACAACATAGTTTACTATTAAAGAGCATTCATATTTTTGTAGCTTGTCTTACTCCTAGTTATCATTGTTCTACCCAAGACATTTCCGAAGGATGTTACTTAGACTACAATACAAAGAGAAATCAGTGAGGAGGACTGAGATCTCATGCTGTTTAACACAAAATCTAAGGAAGCAGAAAGACTAGGGATCAGGAAAGACTCATGGATATTAGAAAGCATGCAATCTGCACCTAATGCAAAAGTCTTCCTGTTCACGTTTGAGGTAAACATTGGGTTTGTTTCTCAAATACAGAGTACTACTTAAAAATGAAACTCTTGACCTACAGCTTTTTTCCTGCCCTGTGACATGTAATCATACCACATCTGTGGTTACAAACCCCTGAATGAGTTAAGGTATTCCTAACTCATTGTAGGTTTGCTTCAAACAGTAAGGTAGTGCACATGTTTGTGCCCCTATGCTTGAAAAACAATGTTCATTTTAGAAGATAACCAATGCAAGTCCAAACTGACATCCCTCTGTGGCGTGAGACCTTCAGACTGCGCACAGACGTTCTCCTGAAAGTGAGAAGATTGTTCTTCTGCCTGTGGAAGACTGAATGCCTCCAGACACTTCTCACAACGCTTCTGCTCTACTCACCCGTGCAGCTGAAGTAACTTCTCTCTAATTTACCTCAAGCAAAACTGGCAGGGTTTGCTTAAACCAGATTCTTCCTAATGTGATTTAAAAAAATGCATATACAAACTGCTCTCTGGGGGCAGGAACCTCCAGCAAAGTGATGGTGGTGAGCAGCTGGATGACATAAACTGTCCCACTAATATAGCTGAAACTACAACAGGCTATGTCAAAGACCTAGATGATAAGTCCCAGAAAAAAATCTAAAGAAATTTCTCTCTAGAGTCCAAGACAAATAAACAAAACCTGATACAAACTGTGCTCTTAATCATATACAGTTACCACTGTCAAACATGTATAATGTTGTCCTTTAAAAGACATATGAAAAATTATTTGCCTTCCCTGGACAGAAATGACTTTTTGGTAGGCTTTCCAAGGATATGAAAGCTATATGGTATAAGCAATATTGCCATCTGCTGGTGCCATAGCTAGTATCTACAGGTTACTGGAAAAACACTTATGTCAGAAGAATAATAGAAAATATATGTATAATTTTTTCAGTGCATAGCATTTGTTTCTGTATGCAAACGTTAAAATGTATTTTTTTCTAACAGTTTGTGCTCAAAGCTTTGGCCATTTAACAAATTTTTACATCAATAACATTTTTTTTTTCAAAACATAAAGGCAAATTTTCATTTTAGATTTAGTTCAGATCACCTTCAGTAACTGGGACAACTGACACCCACCAGAAAATGGGATGCTGATCTTGGTATTACTAGTATAATTCCTACAGCACCACACTTCTGCTGAAAGCACTGAAAATGCTCTGCAGGGACACAACAGCTTTTGGGCCAGTCTTTCAGCTTTGAGTAATTTCTCACTAGACACAACAGCCCTTCCAAAATGCTGCTGATCAACTTCTTTCCCACAGAATCTAACCTGAGTTGCTTGTTCACCCAGCCTCTGCTGAATTATCTCCAGTTTTCTCAGGTCAACACTGAAATCTCTGAGTCACTAATAACAGAGTAGGAGTCTACCGTCAGCTGTGCAATAATGAAGAACAATGAAAAATGCAAAATAATGCAGCATGAGTGCAGCAAAAAGTGCAAAATAATCATTGCAGCATAGAGTATTCCTTCCCTGAAGCTCAAATACTAAGCTGTCTGTCTGATGTTCTGTGCGGCTGCTGGCAGCTAGATGACACGACAGCTGGCAAGTTCACTTCACACCATGAACTAAGGACTGCATTGGATCTCCTGTAATGCAAACTGGCACCCTCTGTGGCTTCCTACGCGTGCAGAATCCCACCTGCATCAAGTGCTGCTCTGGAACGTCAGCACCTGGTGGGTGCCGGTGGCCTCTTAACTGTTTTTAGCGGCATTGCTAAAACCGAGAACATTTAATCTAAGAATGGTTCAGGAACTTTCAGGACAGTTACTATTAAAATGAAGCTGGCTACAGTGCTAACACTGATTTGTCTTTCAAGTTTAGTTCATAATTTTTTAATTGATGTTTAACTACAGAATCTTCAATGACTTTTCAAAAGAAGTTTAACGTACCTATTGCATTCCTCCCGTGCATGTTTACAACCTCATGCTGAAACTGCAGTCAGGACAATTGCGAGGTAACGGTGTGATGCTCACACCAAAGACACTAGGTACCATGCACATATTCAGAAGATGTAACACTATGTACAAAACACATTCTTGCTGGAAAATGCTCCAAGAAATTAGAAAAATTAGCTGCAGGATAAATGGCCTTCAGAAGAAAAGATAAATTTGTGTCAAGGTTATTGTAAGCCCTTTTAAAACCATAATTCTGATTAACATAAACACTTAAGCATGCACATATCTATAATCAGGATAACTCATGCCTAACACTAAGCATATGCTTAAAAGCCCACTGCAGAGTAATGCTTTTTTATTGCATCTTAAGCACGTTACTCACTGTCCGCATCAGGAATACTTCACAGAACAGTGCTGGCACCAGGACAGACTGAATGCTTCCGAGTATTATTCTTCAGCTTTTGCTTTTTCTGGTTTTTTTTTTTTTTTTGGTAACTGGTCTCCTTTTCCATGTGGGAGATTACAGTTCTTACACCATATGGAGATGCAGCAGAAGCCAGTTTAAACTTGGACTTGTAATGTGTCAGTTGTGGAAAAGACTATTGCTTTCATTTTCTCAGTGCTGCTGATGGATCTAGTGTGTTCCTTTAGCATGGTTTTTGCAACAACAGACACTGTCCAGATACCCTTCCATTCCTGTCAGACTCTTTAGAATTTACTTTTTCCTGTATGCTGAACTGTAGCAAAAGAGGCAATACCAAAAGATAAATAATTACCGGGAACTAACCTTTTGCTGCATTTGTTGTCAGAATCTGCTCTGATCAATTTTGCATGAGCGTGTGCAGATATATTTGTGCCAACACAATTTCACTCGAATGTCGGTCTGCATGGGAGCGCTTAAAGCCTTCGGTCTACAGCAAGGATGATATTATAAAAAGACCAACGTTGGTTTTAAAAGGTGTTTCAAATTTTTATCTTCCAAATCTTTTTCAGAAGTATGACTATTTTACATGGCTAATTCATGGAATTCTACAGGAACACAGACTTGTTCCTTTTTTTTTTTTTTCCCCCTTTCTTTTTTTGGCACTCTGCTGCCTGTAAAAGAGGCCATTCCTTCCAGATTGCAGAGCTTTAGGTGTCCTAAACAATAATTAGTCTTACTTTCATCCCCATTTTTATTCTATGTGTGAAGTCTCAGACAATACCAAACGTGTCAGCAGAACGGTTTTCCGCAGGCGGGTGGGGCAGGGCCAGCCACAAAGCCATACCGACGCAGTCTCAACCCGCCTGCTCCGCTCGCGGCCACGCAAAGCCAGACCAAGAGTCTCCTCAGTTGCTTTTCTTTTTGTTAAGGCAAACTCGCACCAATAATGGCAGTGAATGAGACTTGTTCCAGTGAAGATTTTTCTGTTCTCTCAAGCTATTGTTCTCTTTGTACTCAAGCATAAAATTATTGAAATTGCATTATGTCAGACCTCAGTAATTATTTCTCCATATTGCAACTAATGCTAGCATCATTTTCTTTTCCAAATATACACAAAGTCATCAGCCATACCAACATCAACCTGGATTTTTCATTTGAAAATATATCAGCATATTTGCCATTTTTTATCTATGCATACTGGCTTATAATTTATAGCCTGGCACTTGCCTTCTTTCACTTTTACCTTCAAAGTAGCAATGTCTTATGTCTCCACGCTACCAGTACATTTACCAGCAAATCCGACAATTTCTTTATAGCAGGCAAGTTCCATTCCCAGTGAAAACAGAAGTAAGTTTTCTGTGACTCTGGATGATCTTTTTATTCATTAGTACTCCACTGGAAAGTCAGATTACCATCTGTAAGCAACTGATCCTCAATAATTTCAATGACTAATCCCCCCAAAACCTTTTCACGCAGATTCAAAGTCACGCTGCTTTAATTAAAAGAATAAAAATAATGATGACTATTTGCTGTATAAATTCATCTTCCTCTGACCTCTCTCACAGAATTAGAAATCTTGACCTGTCACAGAATTAGTGACAGATGTGGTCCTTGATAGTTAAATGATTGTTTCAGCCTCGTCACGCGTAGGGTAACTTTCTAGAATAAGGAGGATTCTTGGAGCATGCTGAAGTATTCTGTAGTCTTTCATCCAGCTTTTTAAGAAGTCACAATAGAAAAGCAGCTTTTGAACTTTACACTGAAAATGTGAATACTTTATCATTTGGATAAGTAACTTCTGGACTCCAGCACAAGTCAGACTCCAGCACAACACAAGTCTTGTGGACAGTCTGTCCACAATAAAGGAAAAGGGGCTTAGTTGCTCGCTCATCCCCACACAGGACATTTAAAGACATTCAAGTGTAGAAGGTCCTACAAAGAATGAAGTTGTTAACAGAGACAGTAGTTGTCCAGGGCAGGACACTTTGTAGTTGCACATGATGCTTTTCTGAAAAACAGAACAAGGCACTCAGGAGAGACACAGAGTCTCTTGACATCTCATTTTTTAAGGCACCAGTCTGACTTTCAGGGTCACAGTCACCAGAATTAGGGGTTTGGGTTTCTTTAAGGGGATTCAGGCACAACATCTTTTTTTCAGAATAATACATAGCTAATTAAAAAATAGCTAATGAATAGCTAGAAGTAGCAGTCAGAGTACAAAATAACTAATTCAGCAATATAAAAATACTTCAGAAAAACTGCTGTTAGAAAGTAAGTGACCTTTTAGGCACCTTTAGCACTTTTAGCAGCTGCCATACAAAGGAACGAATACCTGCACAGAGAAAGTGATGACTGCTCTTGTAACGGAAAAGTAATTACTAAATCCAAAATGTTACACTCAGTAACCAGCAATCACAACAACAGCCCAAGACCAAGCACGGCAACTGAAAACTTAGTGACTTTTCAAAGTGTCTCTGGAAAAAACCCAAGACTGCAGTATTTTTGGTCATTATTGATGTGCAAGAGATGTAGCCTTCAGTATTTGCAATATCACAGCTTGGTGAATCATAACTTGCTTGCTGTTGTTAAATTATCACCTGCAAAATGGATGATGTGCAACATGTAGTAAGACAATAAGAAGAATATACTGGGCAAAACAAAGCCTTACAAAAGTCGAAGTTCAAAAGTTCGCTAGATTTTTACTTACTTCTTTATTTTAAATTCTGAAGTTGCCCATTTACCTGAAAGAGAGAGCTCTGTTTTTCTGTACCCGGTGCCTTTTCTATCCAGGAATCCAGTGGTTTCAGTGTATTGGTATTCTGAGCAACAACAGGAAACTTCGCTGCCAAGGTTGGTCTGCTGGATACATGCAACTGTTGTTCTTGTTGCACTATCTGGAGCTTTTTCAATAACTCTTGAGGTGAAATCACCCCAGAATTGGCTGCTTGATTGCCAGAGAGAGGAACTGGCTGTCTAGGAAGTTTGGATTGTTCTTTACCAAGTGTCTGAGACTCTAAGGTCTGGCCTGGCAGGGAACCATTGAAATACACCAAAGGTGGCTGGCTCATACTGTTCGCCGGTGCTGCTGGTGCTCCAACAGCAGCAGGAGGTTTTTAGAGTTCCTGTTGCACTGGGGTCCATTTTAGTCCCTGACCCTGACTGACCTTGTAATTTCTGTAACAAGCTCTGAGTGCCAGCAGTATCCTGAACTACATGAGATGTTGCAATGCCATGAGAAGTCACAGGTTGGAAGAGTCCTGTGAAAGTCTCACTCACAGGGTGGATATTGCCATTTTCACAGAGTCTGTTCTCAGGAAACTCAGCAAGCGGATGAAGGTCTGTCCCACGCACCATAAGCTTCTGAATGGCGGGGCAAAGCTGTTTCTCTGCAGAAGGCGAATGCCTGCTAGGTTCTTCATAGGACAGTGAACGTACCACACCCTGCCTGACAGGAAGATTCTCTTGATGCTGTTTATTAACTGGTTCCGAGACATCTGGCTTTCCTCGTTTTCCAAACAGTGCTGTCAAAGACAAGTGCTGTGGTTCAGCATCCACATTCTGTGAGGGGACAAAGGAAAAAATAAACACAGCTCCCTCATGCATCAGTTATATTAAGTGGCGACAATATTTAGGTAGCGGTATTCAAGGAAAAGCCGAGAAAGCTGCTATGATCTTTTCTCCCAAGAGAATATTTAATAGTTTTGTCACATAGGAAGGGCAAGAAGACAGTTGTCAAGCTGCTTATGTGGGAGAAAACCAGTGAATCTGAAAGATAGCAGTGGCTTCATTTTAAATACCATGAAAGAGGATCTTCCCTTTCAGCCATCAGTACAATATCAGTAAGAGACAGAAATCTCCCTTTGTGTGAAATAGGGCCATTGCTTGTGCATCTCCCTTTCACAGCTGAATCCAGGTTTTAGTATTTTGCAGTGTAATTTAGCTTGAAGATATATCAAGAGACTTTTCTTTACCTAGATTAACTGAATTCACCTAAAGAAAAAGAACACAAAAAATGTGGTCCAGCAAATGACTAGACCAGCTTGAGATCAAAGCAGCACCTAAAAATTGAAAGACTAATATTTCTTCATTGAATCAGGATAGTATGCCTGTAATTTACATGCTTCCACATCATATAGTAGGGGTTGGGGGTTTTTTATAGAAGAGATTAGTTTTTCATTAAACGATTCCTTGCTGAGGTTGCACCTCAAATTCTTGCAGTGACCTGACTCCAATAAATATACCTACATGGCTACCCGATTGCAGCAGCACTAGGCAAAAACCACACAAAACATTTTACCTTGCTTTGCTGAGATATTCGTTGATGCTGATTTTCACTAGGCTTCACTGGAATTGGTTTGATTAGGTTGGGGTTGTTACAGATTGCAGAGGAACTGGTAATTTGTTTTGGCTCTGAGCAGGTCTTACACTGCAACAGAAAAGAAGTATTTTTTAGTAAGTGGGACAATATCTTCTCCGATAGTTCTCCACTATAGTAAAACCCAGACATAGCCAAGCACTCAATAACCAAAAACACTAGTTGCAACACTGATTATGAAATGTTACGCTATTGAAAGAACTATAACAACTGCAACCTAATTTTCTAAAACCACCAAGCATATGTAAAAATAAATACTTGATTCCAAGATTCCCTGAGTATGAAGCTTCCCTGCAATTTAAATCTCAGTTCTCTTTCTTACCTTCTGCTTTAACTTAAAAAACAAAAAAAGCACCTTAGAAACCAAGCAACAGACATGCTTTTTCTGCATCAGTAGGCAGCTAGAAGTAGTCTAGATACATGAAGGATTAATGTGCCTAAACATTTAAAATGGTTTTTGTTAAAAACTGGAATTATAACTCAAACTCTTTTACTTAAATATTTCATATTGTGGGAACTTCAAGGATGCATATACCCACAGAAAAATAATTAAAGATTTAATTAATTTATAGAATCAGTATGTTTTCTTATTGAATGTGACAGGATTAATAACAATATTTACAAAAATATGGGCAGAGACAGATGACTAAAAGTGATCAGGAACATGGAGTGGCTGACATATGAAAAGGGAAGGGCATAATTTAATCCAGAAAAAAGCACAGAAAATGCTGTGTGAAAGAAATAATAAATGGAATAGGAAAAGTGAATAAGATGGTCTTACATTGTACAAAAATGAGAATATAGTCAATGTAACTATTGGGTATACAAGGAACACTGTTGTCAGTAGAAAAGAACACAGTGTATTGGAAGTCACTGTCGCTTGATACAATTGAAACCAAGAAACTGGAAAGATTTTTTTAAAGACTTATTTAGCAAAAAAGTTAATCCTATCTAACAAGAATATTCATAGTTAATTACCTGAATTTGATGGGCTCTAAATTTTATGCTGCAGGACTAATGATTGGGTAAGGAATGACAAGTATTGGTTTCGCATTCTTTTGTCCAAACAGCCCAGTCTTGTGCATTACTGGGGACAGAACTCTGGACTGGAAAGACTGCCATACGGAGAGCCACTGCTGTGCAGTTACGAAAATGTCAGCGTCCTTTCCAGAACTTTCCGAGACAAACTCCTTAGGATGCAAATATGTTAGGTGAGAAAATAACCCCCACTCTCAAATACACAAAACCGAACATTTAATCTATTTCTGACACCTACTGCAACAGTAAACAAAGACACACTGGTTCCAGGGGTGCTCAGAAAAACAGACCTTGAGTTCTCAACGGGCACCCGATTGCCTTCTTTGCCACACTTGTCCTCAGGAATCCCAGGCCCCTGAGGCTGGTGGGGAGGACTGGAGTGATGAACATTGATACTCAGTAGTGGAGGATCAAGTTAGGTAGCATGTAGGCAAAACAGACGTACACAAGGCCCATGGGACCAGATGGGATGCACTGATTAGCGCTGAGAGAGCTGCCTCTCTCATTGAGAAACCACTCCTTATTTTGGAAAGGTAATGGCAACTGGGGGAGGTTCCCAAGGACTGGAAGAAAACAAATATCAGTACTACGTTCAAGCAGGAGGATATGGGGAACTTCAGTTTGGTTTTCCTCATCTCAGTCCATGGGAAGGTGAAAAAACAAATGGCTTCCTCCTGGAAGCCATTTCTGAACATATTAAGGACAAGAAAGCGATTGGGAGCAGCCAGCATGGATTTACAAAGGGAAGATCATGCTTGATCAACCCAACAGCCTTTTACAGTGAGATGACTGGCTCAATGGATAATGGGACAGCAGTGGATATTGTTTACCTTGACTTTTGCAAAGCACTTCTTGACGCTGTCTCCCATAACATCTTCAAACTGCTGAAATGCAGACTAGGTAAGTGGACAGTGAGGTTGACAGAAAACTGTGTGATTTGCTGGACTCAAAATATTGTTGGCATGAAGTCCAACTGGAGGCCAGTCACTAGTGATGTACCCCAGGGTTTGACATGGGGCTCAATACTGTTCAACATCTTCATTAATGATGTGAATGATGAGGCAGAGCAGGCTTGCAGACAATATAAAACAGGGACCAGATGGTTGTGCTGCCGTTCAGAGGGACCTTGACAGGCTGGAGAAATGAGCTGACAGGAACATTAGTTCAACAAGGGAAACTGAGGAAGAATAACCCCATGCAGTACAGGTTGGTGCTGCCCGACTGAAAAGTAGCTTTGCAAAAATAGACCTGGGTGGACAGGAAGTTGAATACGAATTGGCAACATGCCCTTGTGGCAAAAGAAGGCCAACGGCATCCTGCATTGCATTAGGCAGAGCATTGTCAGCTGATCAAGCGAGGTCCACCTCTACTGAGCACTGGTGAGACCACTGGTTAGACCCCTCTACTAAGCACTGCAGTGCTATGTCCAGTTCTGTGCTTCCCAGCACAAGAAAGATGCAGACACACATAAGTGAGTTAATTGAAAGTCTACGAAGTTGATTTAAGCACCTGTCAAGCAAGGAGAGGCTTCGTTTCCAGAAAACAAGGCTCAGAATATAGTATCATTATGTATCATCATCGTCCATCCTTGTACCTGATGGGAGGAAGTAAAGAAGACCAAGCCAGACTCTTCTCAGTGGTCCCAGTGAAGAGGCAAAAGGCAAAAAAAAAAGAATATACAAAATCTCGTTTAAACTTAGGAAAAAAAAAACAACAAACCTTTTTTCTTTCAAGGATGTTTGAACACTGGAACAGGTGACCCAGAGAGATTGTGGAGTTTCCATCCATGGAGACATTTAAAACTTGACTTAACATGGCCCTGAGTAACCCACTTTAGCTGATACTGCTGCAAACAGGGAGGCTGGACTAGACTGTCTCCAGAGGTCCCTTCCAATCTCAATGATTTTGAGGGTCTCTGCTGAAAAATCATCTTGTGGGTGTTTGGACAGTCAAGGACTTCTGTGATGAATATCTGAAGACACAATCTTGCAAAGTAAAAGTGTAATTCCACTTATGTACCTGGCTTTCTTCTACTGTATGACAATTTTCAGTTCAAATGTTGCTTTTAGAAATAACTTTACAGTGTGCACAGACAATCACGCCATAGGGTGGTTAGCTATTCGGTTTGAAGAAAGAACAAGCACGTGTGTGTCTCTTCTTTCCTGCTATACCCCTACTGCATAAATTTAGAAACCTCCTCGAGCACTAGATTCGAAAAAACACGAAGAATAAAGTACTGACTTAGGCAATAGTACAGAGCTTCACAGCAAAACTGAACTTCAGCTAAACATAAAACCACGTTGCAAGTGCCTTGTGGTTAACCTAAGCAGCTCTCATTCAACATGTAAATACACTTAAACTCAGCTACATTTTTTGCATTTTCGGGGGGGGAGAGGAGGGGAGGGGAGGGAAGAACAACAAAGAAATAATTTTACTAGAATGTGGTTATCTCATTCACCCAGGGCATTTCTATCCATCTCACGGAGCAGTACAAGTTTGATCACTAAAGATATCCCAAAATTCAAATAAAGAGCTAAATCCAAAGACTATTCATGGTAAGCAAAACAGTATTCTTTTAAAGCTTACCTCCCTTCTCTACTATTCAAAGCCTAATTAATGGAAGCACTTGACAGAAATCTACACTTAATTGAAGTTTCAGATTTGCTTTGCAATTCATATTTAAAATATTTATGAATGGATTGCAATGAAAAATCATAACAGAAAGAAGACACGAAAAAAAGTGTAGAAGACAGTCCTACAACACTAGCATAACTATTAAAGCTTTTACACTAAGGAAAAGTTTCCTTTCATTTGACCCTTATTTCTCCAGGATATTTTAATAGCCTGACTTCTTCAGAAACCATGAGTACCTCAAATTCCACTGTCATACTCTGCATGATCACAGAATTAAGCATATAAAAATGAGGTGAGAAGCAGTAGACTTTAAGAGAGTTATCACTGTACAAGCATTTTTCAGACCAAATTCCTCATCAAAATGAACAGCAGTATATACAATGGCCTATAAAGAATGACATCGACCTGACTTGTTATCATTCCCATGATTTGATAACATGGCTAGTAGGCTGGTATCAAATACAGGGAAGTATGCTGTAGAGAAAAAAAGCCTGTGATGATTTCAAAGGCATCTGTAACTACTGGAGCTCAGAATACAAGGTCATTTTGGCAGATGGGTAGCATAGCCTTGCTGATGAGTAAATCAGGAGCACCAGCATGACATTTTAAGCAGCTGTCAGGTGGACAGTTAAAGAAGATATCAGATGCCATCATCGTCATCAAACAGCAAAAAGCAGCATGAAAGAAATGTCACCATGCTCTTTAGTGCTAGAACCAAAAGAGTATTCACCAGCTACGACATCTGACAATTGCCACATCTTGCTTCACAGGTCTGTCCTTTAGTCATGTGTCTTGTTCAAAGCTATGCTCCCACAAAAGATGCATAAGAAATCAAAAGGTTCCAAGATCAAGACAAAGAAATGCTAAGCAACAATGGAAAAACCCCAGACATCTGTGGTGAACATCAATCGAAAACAACAAGACCATCACTTAGGATGTTTTAGGCAAGTCTGGTAGAGTCAGAGATATCTGAGGCAAACAACTGCTCTGTATCGTGAGATTTCATTGCCTACCTGTACAATACGCAGTTCAAGCTGAACAGGACATTATCAAAGGAAACAACCAATGGACAAGCATGGTACCTCAGTATTGCAGTTCTCCTGAAGCAAATACCATGTCATCTCAATCTCACGCTCTGTAGCAAAAGCCTGAATTTGAGACATGGGAGCTGCAAAGACCTATCAAGTACAACAAGGAGATGCTAGAAGATCTGACACAAGCAAAGAAGGCTAGCCAAGGCCTGATGGAACTTAGAAGAGCTTTGTAGATAGATGGCTATGCTGAAAGCGATGAAGTTTTGAAGTTGTCAGAGCTTGAGCGCAGAGTCAAAAAGCCCTAGAAACTGGGGATTTCTACCTAGCTAATGTAAAGCAACCACAAGATGACATTAGTGAATAGTCACATGAAGGTGTACAAGGTGCTCTGCAGAAGAGAGGGGCTAAGGAGGACAAGAACTGTCTCAAAGCAGAGCAGTAGCAGAAAGGATTTCCAGTCAAAGACCTACTTAAATGAGACATACAAAACCAATTCAGACTGTTTAAGAATAGCAGCGTAGACTCTGCATCATCCGGGCTGAGTATGGCACAGTGCCCTCAGGAAAGCTAGGCCTTCTGCATCCTACTACAGAGTCTTTTACACAGTCAACAAATCAAAACTTTAAGCACCTGAAAACTTAGAAGCTCTATTCCTGTTTGGGCAGGGCAACACCATTGGAACATTTTGCTGAAAGACAGTGAAGAAGCAGTCAAAGAACAGAAAGAGAAGCCTAGAGACCATGCTTGCTCACTACTAGAAAATATGTCCTTATCGAATAGTTGTGTGTCATGAGGTAATGAAGAAGGAAGCTTCAGTTATTTGGGGCACATCAACCAGACAAAAGACATTCACCTAATCTGACCTCCAATAGATCAAAGACAGTATAGTGAATGGGTAGATTCTGTAGAATACCTACATAATAACTACAGAATAACTCTGTGCAGCACAGAGCTAAAAGCAGAGCTTGTCTTGTAGTACAAAACAAGGCACGGTGATTAAACAGAAAAACACTCTGTCATGCTTTGTTCTGTACCCTGGTAGCTCTTCAACTGTTTATCTCCCTAGCTATCATGAGGCCTGCTAATACCACTTCTTCTTACCAGAGATCAACAAAAGGCAAATGTGCATTAAATGTACATTTTTTCAAAAAATACTTTAGTGGTTTAGCAACTTAGAGCTCCATTAATAAAAAAAGGAGGGGAGAGGCTATGTATTTTATTTGTCATGAAACCTCTAAATGTGTAACTTTATTTGGGCATAAGATACACCCTTCAAAGTTAGTTACACTTTTAAAAAAATAAATTCATCCTAGGACTTCAAAAAAATTGAGCAAAATTCCTTAGATGCTTTGGAAATTGATGTTCTTACTCTACAGCTTCCAAGACTTTAAAACACCCTCTTCTCCAAAACCACACAGAATTAAAAAGGGAGAACAACATATTTCATAACTGATTTCTGCAGATCAGCATTGCAAGTCACAAGACATACACTGGCAAGGATGTAGAGATGTCATAAAGCAGCTAAAAAAGCATGACTGCTGTGAAATATATTGACATCAAATACAAAAATGGCTGTCATTGCCTTTATTTATCACACACTTCCTAATTTTATATTATTCACAAAACAAAAAAACCCCCACATATCCAACTCAAAAGAAGTCAGACACTCCTAGTACTCATGTCCCAGATGAAGTTTTCATTTTATTTCCTTAGCAATCACTTAAGTGAAGAAAGATTAAAGATGAAGACGCAAATTTGCAAGAGAACTTATCTGCAAGAAAAAAATTTCAAAAACCTATTAAACAACAGTTCTTCTAGAGTTTCTCTCTTTTTCGTCTTGATTTTCTGTGTGCTCATGTAGAAATGGAAGGTAACTTTTTAAAAGATTTATTACCTCCTTCTCATAGAATCTGACGACAGCCTGATATTTTTCCAGTATTCCACTTACAATATTTTTAAGGTTATTTAATGAAAACTGCTTAAACATTTCACAATATCTCAAATCTCACTCTTTTATGCCAAGACTACATACTGATTCAGTATTAAAACATAGAAAAGATACCAGGTTTTGGAGGCATTTATCCACTGTAATACATTAAATCCCTCTTACAGAAAATACGCAGGTCCTAAGCTTCAAAAGAAGCTGTGGCACAACAAAAAGGGCTACATTTCACCATAACTCAAATAGTTCACTATTATCTTTCTGAGGATCTTATTAGTAGCTGCATTTCAGAGACATAACTTTTTCTCTCGTTAAATTGCTCATGTTTAAGATGTATATATTTCTAGACTCAGCACACTTATGAGCTTTATTACTGCACAACAACACATATGCAATACAGGAAACAGCAGTTGGAACCTGCAGGGTTTGTAACAGTTCGCAGCGCATATATGAATAGTTGAAATTATTACATTTTTATTCCCCAAAGTAAAACGTTTTTGATTGCTTAATAATACAGAACATTATTAGTCCATTAGTTACTTCGTTACTTAGAAGCCTCAGAAGACCAAAGCAGCACACGGGCTGAAATCATACTACATTTCATCCTTTTCATTTCCATCCATTAGTGTTTGAAAGTAGCTAACAACCACAATTAAAAGCAGTAACTTCACTGTTAAAGGTTTTCTCTGAAGGAAGTTATTTGTAAAAACCACAGAAACTATTAGCAGGTTTGAACACTGTACCCAGAAAGAAGACAAAACTTCCAGGTGCTACTCAATAAGCAATAAGCTCTAAGGGTCAAAACAAAAGCCAGTTTATACTTGTTCTTACCTCCTGGCATTCAACAAATAATCAATCATATACATGTTCTCCTTTCAGAAGTTTTTACTGATGGCATTAATTTCTTTTGAATCTTTAGCAAATTCTGACAAAATTTTTCTACCAGCCACTTTTACACAAGATGAGAGGGCATACTGTCTAAAATCAGTTTTCGCTTTGAGTAAAACTATTTAAAAACAAAACCAAACAAACCCAAACATTTTATGTTTTAAAATGTAAAGTGTGAGCAAGTTGGCATCATAGTATCACCAAAAAGAAATATCCTCTTTTTACAGACAGCAAGTCTCACCTTGGTATACTCATCTTTGGCCTTGGTAAGCATCCGTAAGATATCCACTTCTTTGTTATTAGCAGAATTCATGATCATTGGGGACACTCCTGTTCCCATGCCCTGCTGTGCTTTGAATTGTTCCTGCTGCGTTAGGCTGAAATGGAGGACAGAGGAGAATATACAAGACAAAAAACAGACAAAATATAACAAGTTTAATCACGACTGCTTTAGAATAATTAATCAAAACTCAAATATTTTAATTTTTCCCTCCATCTCCATTAAGACATGTAAAAAAAAGATCTCTATTCAAAGATCTATATTAAAACCTAATTTGACCACGTGTGAGATTAATTTTCTCCACTCTTTAACACAGTAGGCTATAGACTAAAATTTCCATAACTCAGTCACAATTTCTATACCCAGAAGGAGCAGGGAATTTATAGTGTTATTCAGTTCTGCTAGTGGTGGAGGATGGCAAACACACACAAATCAGTCATTAACTACTAGCAAATGACCAATTTCCTGCCCCAGCTGTTTTATTATTATTATAGAATGCTGAGAATTAAAACATGCAGCCAATTGGCTGAACAACAGGGTATTTTTTATCTCTACGAAACACTGCTATTATAAACTACTACACGTGGTTTACAATTGCATGAATCCTCTGAAAACTAGTTTTTATAGTAGCAAATTAGCAGTTTGAGAGCACCTAATCACCACCAACTGAAACTTGAGCTAGTTAACTGAAATTAGCTGTCAAAAACCTGGGTTTCCTAGGGTTTATTGCTTATTTCTGTAAATTCACCCCTATCAATTATTTCTTGGGTCAGAACTGACTCATTTTAGAGCTGTAGGATATACAGCAAAACCAACAAAACCCCCTAAACAAAGCCCCACCATTGTGACAGTCTGTGTTTCACACTGTTTTGTCACTGCACAATGAAAAGCAGCAGGTATTACTTTAAAACGAGACATACAGGAAACATGACTACCTTCCCATCCAGTATTTTGTAATAAATCTTATCTGAAGCATGGTGGCAGAAAAGTTAAAGCACTTTGCTATGGATCGAGACGTGCGAGGATAAGCCTTGTTTGCACTTGTACTGTAGGGCACATAAATGGGCTTCTGGGCACTTGGTAACTTTGGCAATCAAAATTGATGTCACTTCCTCAGCATGCTTCTGGCTACAGAAGCTGTTAACACTGGGATAGCCGATCTGAAAAGGAGAGATTCACAGGTCTGACAGTGCCTGTGCGTTGTGCGCTGTTAGTACCTAACGCTGCCAGCCTGACTGTATCCGCCTCCCATGGCTTTTCTCAGCTCTACGTCATCCCTCCTCCTGTCCCTTAGAAGAGCTGTGACATATTGATATGTCCAACTCTATTTACGACAGGCAACCAGTGTACCCAACCTCTGCCTGTTCCTATCAGGCCTCTTTACTATATCCTCCACATTATGCACCTAAAAAATTTAGATTACATATGTTGATAAAAATCTGTAAGACTTCAGGTCCTTCCTCCTCCAAACAAACATGCAAACCTGCAGATTATAGTCCTAAAAAAGGGATCATTGCAAACAAGCCCATCATTAGGGCAACCAGGGGGTAGAGCAGAAGAATGAGCCCTGTCCATCCTGGACACATGAAGCAAGCAGTGACAGCGAAAAAAATACCCATGATTTTGTAAGATTAAAATACAGCTGAGAATACAGTTCTCTTTGAAATTTTAATCTTCAACTTCATTACAAAATGAAAGATTGTATAAATATGTATAAAATATTATTATATACATAAAAGTAATTAATTCAAAGTTAATTAAAGTCTTGCTTTATATTCCAAAGTGAATTTTGTACATATTGCTAAGAAATGAGGAAGCAGGAACTCAGTCATGATGTAGGAACAGGATAAAAACGACAGAAATTGTATTGATACAGTATGCCTTCATGATAGCCTGCACTTACATTGATATAAGAAAAAGGGAAACAGCAACATTAAAAAAGAAAATCTTCCCAGACTGAAAAATAAATTAAAACCCCAAAGAATATAATTCTTCAAAACAGATCTCTTAGTCATATCTGATTTATTTCCTGATGAACTGTTACACTCTGATGTAGCTGGAAAGCTGCACAGCAAATTATGAAAAAGTATTGCAATACAGCGACTTATTTCTGATTATACAAAATGCAGGTGCATGACAATTTTACTTGCTACAAAGTCTATAATAACAGGTTTAAAGTAGAAAGGTATGACCATCCTAGTAACATAATGTGCATGTATGTACAGAAATACATACATCAAAGCAGCACAAAAAGCCTTGTTTACCCATCACTTACTTTTTCATGAGCTCTGCAATTCTTTGGCATTCTTCCTTATCATAAAACCAAATTCCATATATGGACACTGTAAATGCACATCAAACACAAACTATGAGCATCTTCTCAAACAGCAGTTCTACCTGGTAGATATTTAAAAGTGACCTATATAGAAATCTTTAAATTTATTTCTGTCTTCCGTTCTCCCCATCTATAAACATAAAAATGACACCTCAGATCCTCCAGAATCAAAAAATATCAAAGGCATATCTCTAAGGATGTAAATCACAAGCTCTTGAACCTTCAATAAAGAGAGAGGTATTTGATCCTTTTCTTCAGAACACTAAACCAGAGGGTTTTTTTCCTTAAAACCTTTTCCTTTGTCCATTTTTTCCAGGTGTCGTATCATATCCATTAGACTCCAGTGGCTAGCGTACTGCAGGTAGTGTCGCACAGATACATAAGCAAGCAAGATTTGTTTAGTTTTCAACAACCTTCAAGCCTATCTTATATATCAACAAAGTTGTTAGAGTAGCAGTAACACACCTCTGCCTCCCTGCAGATTTCCTATAATGTTGCCCATTATTTTCACCACCAAAGAAGTAATTACCTGTAGCCAACCCCAGGAATAGAAAATCTATATCTGTGTTCAGACCTCCACTAACGTAAGTGCCTGCAGCTTTGCACAGCAACCACAGATTTAAATTTACTAGTAGTTCAAGATTCTCAAATGTATACACTGCTAATGAAACCACCATGCCGGGAACAGCCATAATGGGGCTGTAGTTAGTGCAGCTTCCACCATAATAAACAGGGAGCTTTTTCCACTCACAACCATGTTATACAGCTCTTCGAAGATAGTTTGGGAACAAATGTCCAACACTGTCTCAAAACTATCTGTTCACATTTACCTGGGTAACTGTCTTAGTTTTAACCTCAGGCACAAATTTGCTGTGAGAAGAGGAAGGGAGAAGCACTTAAAGGGGTAACACAGACCTTTCCCCCCGCTCCCCGCCCCAAATCACCACAACCTTGTGTAACATCCATGTTCCCTTTACATGATATGGTAGTAAATAGGTTGCCACTGTGTTTCTTCTCCTTTCCCCTTCCTATTATACAGCAGGCAAGAGTTTTCCCTTAATCTTACTAAGAAATGGCAACTCCTAACACGTCTTCAAACAGAGTAGAGACTAGATTTTATTTGAAAGTGGCATAAATGGATTGAGTACCTGTTTAAAAACAATTGCACCATTGACTCTGATTATGTAATGTTTCCTTATATTAGCAGAATCCAAAAGCAATCACTTCTTAATTCCACAGAACCAAAACCACAGCATATGAAATAGAAGTTTGCTTTGTTAATATTTGGAAAGAAAATGAATATGCAGCTGCTTGTAAGACACAAGTGTAATACTTATCTCCATTCCCCCTCAGATTTTCAGCCATGTGTTTTCTTTTACATAGCTAAAAATGGTTCAATTGTTTAGCACAGCACACTGGTGAAAAGTCTAAAAAAACCCACAATCCAACAACCATCCTCTAGACATACAATAAATAACTTTTAAAAGATGTACAGTCCTTTTTCTGATTAAATTTTGAAAAGCATGATGATGATTTCTATTACCTAAAAAAGGCAAGTAACATAATATGCGCCAGTGGGTCTACAAATGTGCAACATAAGAGCTGATATGAACTGCGCAAATATTCTCCTTTTTGTAACATAGATATTAGTATTAAAATACCTATTTAAAAGACATTAGTATTCTAACACATTCCAATAAGTATCCAATAATCAACTGCAAACCTGTAGAAAAGTGTGTGAATGATTCGCAAGGTTCCAAAATGCTGACCTACTACGTGAAACTACTCGTCCTTCCGACAAAACACACCCGAAAACTTGCTGTTGTCCAAATCACAATGTAGCAAGCAGACTGAAAACCCCAGACAAGTCAAATTTGTTTTAAGCAAGATTCTTCTTTGTTATAAAAGAATCTCCAATGCAGAAGAGCACTGATAAAACTTTGGCCATCTGCTCCATTCTCTCAATATTTTTTTTATGTCTGCCACAGCTGGTGACATCACCAATATGCAAAACAGGTTGAACAGCTTCACCTTTTGGTCAGTTGATCAAACGTGTCATAGGCTATTTATGAATATCTGATAAATTTGAAAGCTGATAGTCCCATTAAAATTTGAAAGACTGGCAGAAGCAAGCTAGGTTACCTCAACTCAGTGACAAACATAAGTAAACTGTCTGATCACCAGTATAAAGATCAATTCAGATTTTACAGAACTACAACCAATAATTTGAAATACAATTCAAACAAATGCACACCCATTTCAGATCACAGAATAAGGACACTAATTATTGTCTGTCCCACCAGCTCAAACCACCGCCCCAACAATATATCACATCTTAACTGGAACTTGAAGTCAGAATATTGCAGATCCACAGACCTTTAGCCTAGATGTTAGCCAAGCCTCGAAACCATCCACACACGCTTACTTTCTTACCTCAGCCAAATGGTACTTTCAACTTAGACTGGGAAGCACAGCTGAAAGCAAGCGAAGACCAAAACCCAGCACCCTCTGATCTTACAGCCCACCCATTCAGTAGTGAAATCTTTCAGAAGTGGACCGTCCTCCTCTCCTTCCTTCTACACTTTTCCCATCTGTTCAGAACAGACGAACGCTTCAGAAATACACTGAGAAACAATCACACAGCCACTCCACTTGTTGCGGCACAAGGTACTCCGAGCTCTTTCATGCATGGGAGAACAATGTATCAGTGAGGAGGCAGTAACTTGGTGGAAATCTGAGATATCCGGTATCCAAAGTACACCCATTTATGTTTTCATATTGGGTGCTCATCACCCGGAGTAACCATGGCGTAAACTCATACTGTAGTAGTATATTCTGCTACAAGCTACATTCAAGGAAACAAAAATGTAAATAATAGTAGCAAAGATGGCCATCTTCTTGCTTAATGATGAACACAAAATGGCCAAGAAAAAGTTTTTGTATGTATGACAACACGTAAAAACCCAGGACCAGCAAAAGGACCCAAGATGGTTACAAACAAGCTGGGAACCTGGCCCGCTCTCTACTAATAAAAACTAAATACACATAGAATACAATTTTCACTACAACCTTTAATATCAGCATGAAAACACTGCGTGTCTTATCAGGATTAAATCTAAACAGATTACGTTTATCCACCCTCCAAATCACACTGTTTGACAAAAAGGAAATCCTGATGTAAGCATCATCTGTAGAGTGGTAATTTCACTAAAATGTTCACGTTAAAAATGAATCACTAAACAGCGGAGGCACAACTGAATCACTAAACAGCAGATGAACAGGAAAATTCTTCTAATGCAGAACAAAAGAAATACTAGGCCCAGCTTCAGCTATAAAGTTACCCAAGAAGAGATTATTGTAAAAAAAAACAAAAAAAAAAGAAAAAGAAACGACAAATCAAAGTCAAGTATCTTCTGCTAACCAAGTGAGCCAGTTACATGAAGAGTAGATAACAAAAGCCCTATAAGCAGACCTAGTTTTATACTGACAAGATGGTACACATCTATTCACTCACTTTCAACAGTTCCAAAGTCATTTACTAAATTAAATTTAGTAATGAATTGATCACGTTAAAGAAAAAAAGAAAAAAAGGCACCAAAGTTACGATGTTGTTTACAAGATTACACAAAACTAGAAGGATATAATGCAGCTATCAAGTCAACAAGATACAATTAATATTGAATGGGAATAATATAAATAAATTACTTAAACCATCTAATTGGAACTATTAAATATTAGGAGATATCAGTCTTTAGAATTCTTAGAATTTGAAAAAGGTAGCTTACTCATAAATCAAAATGGAATAATTTAACGAAATCTGTGAAGCTCATTTAATACAGCTCAGAGAAGGAATTTCAGGAAGTATATTATTTAATTTTTAAATCACAACTTCCAAGCCAATTCTACAGCTTCTGCCTTACAATTTTCATTTTTTGGCTCTAGATCTCTCCTGTCCTCACAAACACTAGAGCACTAGATACTATTTATAAGCAGAAGCTGACAGCTGCTATCTACCAGAATAATAGATGACAATTTTTGATCTCACAAAATCTGAAACATTTATTTATTATGATGATGAAGAATTTCTTATCAACTTTCAGGATTCATGCTAAGTATCCTATTAAAAAGGAAGTAATTTTCTCTAGGACTATTTATTGCACCCTTCATTTGTCTAGCTTCAACTTCCAGCTATTAGATTTTTTTGTCTTCTGGATAGGCATTTCCATTATCAAAGCTTTGGGTTCAGTGTACCTGCAACACATTATTTTAAAGCTATTGCTCCACAGACTGCATACAGTATTTAAGCTTGGTAAAAATAAATTCAGAAATATCATCCTCACTGACTAGAGACTCCCCTGTACCTAGAAACTGTTTTACACTTGCTGGTATTAAAAACAAACAAATACAATGATTTTTCAACTTTCATGTTTTATTCTTGATACCACGCTTCTTTTAGGTACTTTATTCCCTATGTATGGCCTAGACTTTTGCTCCTGAACATGTAAATCCACACTTGGCTATATTAAAATACAGTTTTAATATGTACTATGCACATCTTACAAGGTAGTCGGACTCCTTTATGTTGGTCATTTTTTTCTCCTTGCTGTCTACCATTCACGTAATATTTGATTAGTCATCAAACTATCAAAGCTTGCCTTTCTTTTTCTACTACTTTTTAGAATATTGCTGCCTCCATTTTGCAGGACCCACTGAAACAAGAACCGAAGTTGGTTATATCCACAATAATAATTTATAATCTATGAGTTCTTAACTTAAAACACGAATTAAAGCGTGCCATGTTAATTTCGTGCTCTTTTACTCTAATGCAAATGTGATCCCTCTGTCCACAACACCGTCTTTACAATGACGATAGAAGCATACGACGTTCCTTCCACTTTGCTCAGGCTGAAGCAGCGAGGGAGACTTGCCTGTGGAAGCTCTACAGCATAAAGCAAGAGAGGACTGCAACAAAGCAAAGAAGATAGAAAAAACATCCAGCTAAGGCAG